CTCAGCTCAAAGATAGAGAGCGTAGTAAATGACTACGTCTAACGGGGTCAGAACCGTAGCTTTACATCGATGCGATACGAAAGACTTCACGTGATCGTGGCAGGGCGTTGGCTTGAGCAGCCTGGACACGTGTTACGCATGCAACAACATCGAATTCCACGAGTGGCCATGTATTGGATCCGCCCAGGAACGTAGGGAGGGCTCCAGATTCACGTGCAGACCGACCTTCGATGATGAGTTGAGAACTATGAGTATTTCTAGGGACGAAGATGAAGAAATCACGAAAAACAATGAGCGGTGAACAGAGTCTGTCGCTTGACAGCATGGCAGAACCTTTTTCCTGGTCCAAGGTAAGTAATGAGGCAGAAGGACAGAGGAGATAGAGCAAAATGCCTGAGTGGCACGGTCCTGAAAGTCTATTACCTGAAGCGTGCGTTCGACCGGAATTATGAAACCTGAGGGCGGATCTTCTGGTCGAAATTTGACCTTCTTACTAGGAGCATGGTAAGCGGCGTCGCTTGTACTACTGCTGCTCTGTCAGAATATCATTCATAGGAGTGGTCCAGCATGAAGGAAACTCTATCCGATTGGCCCTCAGCCGCAAGTGGACTACCCTTCCGACATGATTAGCTAAGCCACACAAATCATATCCTCGAACAGTCGAGTCTTGTGAAATCTTGTGACACCAATTAAGTGATGACTTGCAGCTTAATTAATTCGTCTTTATTATTTATTTTGGCTGCAGCCTTTCTTCCTCAATAGCCACCAATATTTTCCACCCCGTTTTGTTTCCCACTGAGTGGTGCGATACCTCAATGGATAACGAGCAGGGTAGAGAGAGGGTGCGGGATTGGGAGAAGGGGGGTGTAAGTATTCTTCCTGAGCATGTCTCCCGCGCACTCCCTTGAGAACCTGTTATCCGGATAGGGAGTTCGATTTCCCAGCTCTTCACCTTTTGAAATAATTTTAGAGATTCCCAGTGCTGTCAAGTATCCCGATACCTCCAGGAAAGCGAAATTCTCGAATGAAACACAAATGTTATTCTTGGTAATTTCGTGTTGACCGCGAAATGTTACGCGGCTTACGTTGTAAAAGAGAAAAGAAATCCCAAAGGTCGGTGACCGGTTTCAATTCAACTTTTTTCTTTGTGCCGACTGCACAGTGTATGAACGCTGATGAAGGGAGAAATGCCATGCCACAATAGAGACATTCCTTAATATCATACAGAGAATAACAAGACCACGAAATCATTAGACGCTGTTTAACCCCTATAGGGATGCGCCATGTACCCAATTTTCAAAAAAAAGAAAGGGTTTTACAGGAAAGAGAGTGGGCGAAGTCCAATTGTGCCCAATCGCATAGAAGATCAACAGGTCCAGATGCTGATGTTGTCATCCTACTTTGCGAGGCTGATACCATTTTGCCAGCTCCTGGGAAACGGATTGTGACTGGCTGCCTTGAACCCTGTGTAATCTGACACCTGAACCAAGAGCATGGTGAGCGGCGCTACCTGTATTATCTACGCCCCGTCACAAGACCATCCATAAGTGGGCACACCTTGTAGGTATAGGTGAGGCTCTGGAGAAGCTGCACCATAAAGTCGTAGAGGTGTTCCGGCTTGGAAGGGTTGGGGAGAGGGTCGTCCTCGGCCTAGACAGAAAATTCTCCGAACCGCCACAAAATTCCTTCCCGGATTCTGATTTCCTCCGTTTCTATTTATGATGTTAAGTACACTCTACTTCTCTGCGGACGCGTGGCGTGTCATTCTAGTATGAGTGCTTCCCCTCTTGAGCCTGTACTCTACCTCTGATTGAAAGCAACATGTGACAAAAAGCAGTTAGAAAACAAGTAATACGAAAGGTGATACAGGATTGCCAGTTTGCTCGTCTCGAACAACTCATGCGAGAACGAACTTGCACGCCGCAAACGCAGCCCGCACGAACACAGCCCACGTCGCAGGTGAAACAACACTATTAGCCGCAATTCCACTGTAGAACCACTATTATTGACAGCTGATTCTGATAGTTAGGCAGCGTCCGCGTTCATATGATGCTCCTATGCCCTCCTCAGATATCGTAGCTTTGTCGACTAGGGTGGAGGATGTACTAATTTCGCAGCTTAAAATACGAGAGGATGGCGCTATCCGCTTTGTGAAGGAGATGCAGCGCCGCCTACGCTGGCTGCCATCACTGCCAGTGTAGAGGCGGCTGCAATCCCTTCACAACAGGTAGCGCGATCTCTCGCATCTTGTAATCCTTTCGGCTTAGCCTTTATAAGGTGAGCTGCGCTCTCAAGAATAATGAGTTATGGAGCTCATATAATACGTGATCCAGTAGTGAAGAAAAAAGCAGAAAAAATCATGGAAAATGCCCTATATAGAACCCTATGCTGGTCAGGTGGGCGGGGCGGCCGACTCTTCACAGCGGACGGCGCTATCTCTCGCCTTTTCAGACGTAAAACGTACTACTGCATCCTCATAGGGCAGTGCTGGGACCAGGGCACGCCATTGCGTTGTGATCATTTCCTGAAAAATACGACCCCCCCCCCTAATTCCATCTTCAAGTACGACCCCCTCCCCACGTTACCTCTTCCCTAGATTTTTCCAACCTCCTACTAACTTTTCTCTATTTTTTCTTTTCCCCAAAAAGTTTTCTGTTTTTTTACAAAATTTTGCTGTCGAGCGGGGGGGGGGGGGGTCGCAGTACCTACGTACGTCCCAAGCACGTCCAGCACTCTGGCGCTGGTGTAGCATACTGACAATACGTACGAGGAAGGGGCGATGATAGGAGCTACGATCACCGCCCACAAGGGCCCCATGAATTTATAAACAAACAAGAGGACTCACGACGTGACGATTAATAAACAGATGAAAGTACATTCCCGGACTTTTCTGATCGTAGGAGCACATTTGCTTGCAATTGGGAAGCCCTATCTAGAAGTTACACCTTTCAAACACCTGCGTGAAAGCCCCATGCATGGCGCATTGCATATGTGATGCCAATTGGCGCCCAATGGCCTATTACCTGATATGCTTGACGAAAACATGTGTTTCAGAAGCATACCAAAGTCTTCGAGCCAACTGGAGGTTTCCTGGCCTCGGAGGGGTTGATTTTTCGGTGTCGTGGGGGTGATTACAAAATGATCAACAACGGGGAGATTTTCGAATAAGTAGGTCTAGGAAGGAAATTAAAACCTTGCTGGAAAGTAGAAATCTTCAAGCTTCCGGCACAGTTCTTTTTTTTTACGAAAGGTCGTGTATGAAGCTTGCATGGACGTCCAAAGCGTAGCGACTCGCGGGCCGTTCGCCAAAAATGATTCACATTTGATGGATCCAACAAAAGATATCACAACGGGGAAAATCTCTGGAACCGAAACGTTTTTGAAATCGCTCAATTCAGGTGATAAGAGCCAACCTAGCTCTACTCATTCCCACTTACCCCTCTCCGATAGCTTCACTTTCAACGAAGTTATGGGTGTTCAAATGAGGGGTACTTTTCACGTGTTTGGCTTGAAATTGGCTCCAAACCGTAAAATAGCGCGCACCAATGCGCTTGTATGAGCGCGCTGACCGCGAACAGCCAAAATTCAAAAGTAACCCATAGTTCCGGTTCCCAGCTGAGCGGTGAGTTTTTTCTTATCCTTTTTATTGTGAATTACTTTGTTTGTTTTTGTTGATTTGATATTGTTTGTGCTGAGTTTTGTTTTTGTAGAATTGCTCAGGATTCAATTTCTACGGTTTCATAGGTAGCTTTTTCAGTGGATTTTTTTTCTAGATTTCGCGGATTAGTGGATTGGGATTTACCCAGACCAGATGGGAGGTTGGTGGGCGAAGTGTCTTGAAGTTTTTTTGTGAGGAAGGAGGAAAAAGTTTCAGCAATATTTTTTTTAGTTTTTGGCCTAGGAATAGTTCGATAGTGCCTAGTTCTATTTATTGTCATCTACATCGTCCCTTTTGAGCTTCTTTTTACTTGTACCGTGTATCACCGCTCTCTCCACTTCAACATGGGCCATGCGTTTACGACCCCCCCCCCTCCATCGCGGGCAAATACGACCCCCCTGTTGTGATGATCACAAAGATGGCGTGCCCTCGGCTATGACACCCACGCGGCAACATCAAATGAACGTGGGCGTTGCCTTTACTAGGAGAAGAGGACCCACTCTTCCATCCCTCTGGCCCCCACCCGAGAGCAGTTCTCAGGGGAATTGGAGGAATTGTATTGGAAGTGATAGGAAACTGGGAACTTCGAAAAAATTTTGATAAGTATGGAGAGGGATCCGTGCCGGGAGTCCAGAGGGTGCCAGCTTTTTCATAAGAAAAAAGGACATTCTCACCCCGTACCTAAGGGACAAATCCCTGTCAATTATGGACTTATGGCGAAGATCACAGGAATTGGCCAAAAACCGAGAAACTTACGTAGATCTAAAAGAATTTACAGGGCTTCATACCGAGACTGCTAAAGTCGGATGAGAGCCGTCTGTGAGGTTTGCAGGAGTTCACTGGTCTGTAGCCGATGGGAACAGGTGAGGTGCCCCACTGAGCACAACAGCTCTCGATTTCTTTTAGTGGCAGGCACTGGAGACAGGAGGTTAAAGGAAAGACACACTGCTCATTGGCACCACAGTTTACAGAATGACACAAAGGGTGACAGTGTACAAGACCGACCCGATGTAAAAGTTTCCTGAGATGTTACATCGTGAGCAAGTCTTTCCGACTGCTTCCACCCTCACGAGAAGCTGAAGACATCCCTCATCGCAACCGAGTTAACGGCGCACAGAATTCGTTCCACACTGGAGCAGCTACGTAATCACCAGGGTTGAACTACTCGGATGCGCTTTATACTGTAAATCCCCACTCTTGTACTATAAAGCGCCGGCGTTGATAGTGATTACGGTAATCCTCCTTCTTTATCACAGACCAAGATGATTACCGTAATCATTATCATTGAATTAGCCATTCGTGCGAGATGGAGGGTGGCTGTATTTTGTTAGTTCAACCGTGAATGCTGGTCGCACTGCTATGTGTGATCACTACGCTAACGTTCGTTTGCACAACGTCTGCTACTTGCTTCAAATTCTTTAGAAAGAAAACAGGTAAGCTTTTTGTAAAACTTGTTACCTAACCCACCCGACCAATGGTACCTCATAGGAGAGAGGACTGTTGAAAGGAAAGCTCGAACTGGAGTTAGACGACTTAGAGCACATGCAGCGATTAGTGACAGAGTGGCAGAAACCACAGTTCAGCGCTGTGAGCCCCAGGAGGGGCACTTTCTTGTCATGCCAAAGTCACGCCGTTGAGCTTTGGCTAGGGTTTGGAGTGAGGGTGACATGCTCCGACATCGTCTGAGCCGTGTTGGAACACGCAATGCTGCTTCGGCGAGAGAGCACAGGCGAGCAGACAAGACGCTTCTCAGCTCGCGAGAGGTCCCTCCCGAAGTGAATAAAGCCCACACTGGTCATGTTTGAGTGAGGTTTGAGCGGTCCTGGCTTGCTACATTTCATTCTGGATCGAGCGTGGAGGGAAGGGTTTCTGCTACACTGCCTTCCTCTAGATGAGACATCATGAGGTGTTTGACTGGATACGCAGCCCATGCTGATTGCATGGGCGGAGACAGTCAACAACTGCGCCTAGTAAATGCTACGTTTCTAAAAGTGGGAGGCGTTCTAGTCAGAAAAGCAGACCTGACCATCTCCGCTCAACACTATCATGATCATGATTTACCTTCCCCACTAGTATTGCGCTCTTACGGGCAAATGTTAGCGGTTCTTGCAGGAGTTGGCTATTCAGTGCCATGCTACCCCTTATTTTGCAAGTGATGGAAATCAGAAATGAGTGCTGAGAGGGGAGGGTTTGGTCGTGATAGCTATGGAAGTATTAAGTGAAATCCAGGTTGGGGGGGAGGGGAGGTGACGCGTTAATGCGGGTCATGTATGCAGCCCAACGAATGCTTGAGTGTGACTTCTTAGCGGGATCACGGAAAGGCGCAGTATACATACGACAACTGCATGACAGTTCCACAACAGTAGAACTACCTTTCACCCACCTCCACGCTTTTCCGGCCACCTCTGCCCGGAACTGTTTCTTCCAGAGGCAGATGGGATCATCATTGAGCGCGCGATATTCAAAGGTAGCGATTCAACCAGAAGTTTTACTGGCAAGGATCAAAACAGTCTTTATCATAGGTGTTGGTTCACTGCCATCGAACCACGATCATTCATACTTGTCATCACAACTGGTACTTATGTCCTTGATTTGTGACTTTCAGATCTCCCTTATGGCCCTGCAAATAGATCGCCCACACCGAGATCGCTTTCTCCGGGATCAAGATTGAAAAAGAAAAGTCCCAAGATTTTCAAGCGAAGTGCGTTGACGCCACGGCGCACTTTTTCTCGTCAATCCTCGACCAGTGCCACCACTAATCCGCTCTCGCCTACCACGACCGCTGCATCAACAGAGACCAAGCCGATCAGTGCCAGCAAGGAGGCGCTCAGTGGCTCTGGTAAGTACCGCCATATTTATCTGATTGTTTCGGTTAAGGTTTATACATGGTTACCCAGGCATTTCAGCCTAACAGGCGCAATGGAAGGCAAACTGTGGGATGAGGCGTGGGAGGGGACCCATTAGGCTGCGTTCATACTTTGCGGCACCGTCCATCGGCGACCGCTAGCCTTCCGAACGCCCAGGAAAGTATATACGATCTAGCGACCAGTACCGTCTACCAGCGTCCACAAAGCAACTAGCAGCTTTCCGAGCTAGGGAAGTAAGGGATTTCGGCATCTAGGCGAACAGAAGCATCCAGCAGAGACCAGCAGCATCCACCAGCGCCCACCTCCTTATCCCTCGAGAAGCTGCCGGACGTAACGCTGGTGGACGCTGCTGGTCGCTGGAGAACGCTGGCGCAGAATTATTCAGGCGCGGCTAACACGCAATGGAAAGGCAATGCGATAAATTGGGCTGGGCGGACGATCCAATTGGCACCCCTACTACTCAATCGTATGTGAGAGATGAGGGGCGATAATGCAGAGGCGCCCAACCGACTGACTCTTTCCGTCCACTCTGCCTGCTCGCACCTCATCTCATGGCTCCAGGTAATATAGGGGCCATAACTGGTCCTTTTCCTAGTCAAAACTCGAATTGCTGCATTATAGCTCTAACAGATGGCAAGAGGACAATGCGCGTGGAAAAAACGCAGCCGATATCATCGCAGGAAACGGTGAAAGAAGAACTCGGTGATGTACAGCTAGTTAAAGCTAAACCAAGTAAGTTTCACTTCTTACTACACTATTTATTACTTGGCTTCAAGTGGAAGTGGCGCGTCATCAGAGTACGCTGCGTGCGGCGAGCTTCTATGGTTCTATGAATCCAAGATGAAGTTCAAGTCAAGTCAAGCATCTCTGAAGACTTGACTGGCACTTTTATCGCTTCATAAGGCTGCGTTCATACTTTGCGGCACCGTCCACCAGCGACTAACAGCGTTTCGAGTGTCCGGCAGCACCAGCGACTAGGAAAGTGTATTCATCGATCTAGCGTCGACAGCTTGCGCCTGGTCTACCAGCGTCCACCACCGTTCGAGGGCTAGGGAAGTATAGGTATTGGTCCAGCATCCGGTAGTGTCTACCAGCGTCTAACAGCGTCCACCAGCGACCAGCGGTCCGCTTCCTTCTTCCCGTACTCTACCACCTGTCTGTACCCTCCCATCGCGCCATACTCTCTACTCCGGGACGCTGCTGGTCGCTGATTGACGCCACCGCAAAGTATGAACGCAGTCTGAAGCATTCACGTGTACTAAAGAGATCTAATGTTCATTTAGGAAAAGACATTGTAGAGATTCTCAAAAATTGCCCAAAATTGGATAAGAAATCCAGTGAGGAATTCATATCAGATTCGGTAAGGATCACATCCGTTCCCGTCTGACAGTCATGAGTCATTAAATGGCAGACCATTATTTACGGTTCGAATGTTAGTAAATGCCTCAGGGCACTTGTCATCTATAACGCTGGGTAACTGACCATTCTTTTCTGCGTGGTGTCTGCACCTTCTTCCAGGCACAAAATCACCGCTTCTCTCTCATTCTCTCAAGGTACAGTTTCGGGATGGTGGAACGCAGAAGCAGTACAGTAGTCCCACATATTCCTCCTCCAGTGTAAACCCCACCCTACCTAACATCTTCTCATGTTCTCCCAAATCACATTTCTCAATTTTCCAAAAAAATCTTCCCGCTTGTTCAGTCTTTCCTGGAAAGCTGCCATCCATCGGAGGGTGGGGGGACAGAGGAAAACGGACACCAGTCAACTACCAGAATCAACCAACCACTAGCTGTGTAGTAGTTCTACAGCGCCGCCGGCAGACACCGCTCTCAGCGACCGAACAATGAGATTCTTTCAGCGATACTGTACCCTGCACATAAGTCCACTGCAAGCATGCATCACCGTGTGGATCCTCTCAGAGAGAGAGAGAGAGAAGAGAGAGGGAAAAGAGAGAGAATACTTCGACAAGTCTCACCGCATTTAAAAAACGGAAAATGTGTGTAATTGCAGACGCGAAGCCTCGACGACACCTTACGTGGTGCTGAGTCATTGAAGACGGACAATCTGACGTCGTTGGCACCCCGATCATCTATCGAAGCTGTTATGAAACATCTCAAGGCGAATACAGAAACAGTGAAATAAAATACGAATAAACTTCTTCTTGTTTGAGCGCTTTGTTTGTGTTCGCGTCGGGTAGAAAGTAGACAAGATGATAGTTGAGGTGGTTTCTGAAAAGGCGCCAATGAAGTCGGCATTGAAATGACAGCAGAGAGGAGCAATCCTCGAGATAAATAATAACTTCGGCTGGAAAACGATATTGTTGCTCCGCGTAAGAGCTGAAGGAGCGGAAAAAGGTTACCGGCATTGTTCTCCACTTTGGAAAAAAAGAGCAAAAGTGTCTCAACTGTGGAAGTTTGCCGTCCTCCGTTCTCGTGCTCTGTTGTACCCTCGGGCACGGCGTCTCTTTGAAGGGGCTCTGATATTTTCGCTATTTGTTGCTCTCCGAGAGTCAAGGCCTGCATTAAACGGGTCCTTTGTCGCTACTTTTTTTCCGTGTTATTTTTTTACCGGGCCTCATGGAATCATTCCGTATCTCTAACAAGGGAGGTCTTTGAGGTCGTGGCGCGTTTTTTAAAAATGGTTTGTTGCTTGTTGTAGGGGTCCATGCAAGGTTTACAAAAATGGGTTTCATTTTTGCTATGCGTTTCTGGGAGGTCAAAAACTGAGTGAAAACAATTTGACGAGAAATCGCGATTTTAACCGTGTTAATGGGCTCTGTTGTAGCTGTAACTTTGACAGTGCATAATTCATGAGGTGTCCCTTCACTATGTATTGAAAAGATAGCAAAAGTAAAGCCAATAAGAAAGTGGACGGAGGGGAGTAATACCGAAGTTACTTGAACGATTCTCCACAACTAATGTTGTGCGGTCGGCTGATGGCGGAGTGGATAGTGAGGTGGGCTCTCGCGAACAAGGTTCTTGGATCGGATCCCCTTGGCGTCTAACTCTTTGATTTCTCGGATTAACTTTTATAGCGTTTTCATTTTTGAATTTACTGGCCCCCCATTCTTGACGGACGCGGCGCAGCCCTAGCGCCGCTTGCAAAAGAGCATTCTTCCACTGAATTGTTGCCAACCCGCACGCAGGGGCTGTTAAGCGCTCATCTCGAGGAGAAAATTTTTGCTGAAAGTCTGTATATAGAGGTTATTAATGGCCCTGATGACGATTCTGACCTTTAAAATTGGCGTCTAGGTCATTTGGCGCCAACATGGCTCTGAACACCCCCTCACGCCAGCTGCGGGTTGGGATGCTGCGAGAATCTCTTGAGAAACTACAATGCTGCCTCACTATGTGCCAAATAAAGTACTTTTTACCTTGAATTGTATTGTTTTCGATGCAGTGTCGACGAAGGTCTCATCTGCTATGCATACTTAACATTATGAATAGAAAAAGCCTCGGGAAAAATGGTTTCAGAAGTCGCTCACTCCCACAGCGAACTTTGCACTCAGTTTTGTGACGCGCTACCCGGCCCAGACAATGCATAGCAAAAATCGAAACCCATTTTGTGTGATCTCCTTTATTGGACCCGCCCCCCCCCCACAAATCCTATCCGCAGCCTCATCGTGGCGTGGGGGTGAACGGTTTTGGACTGTTCCAAAAACGTACCAATGCGGAGGGTGCCACGTCAGAGCCTGGCGAGCTACGCGTGGTTAATTTTCTTCTCGCCGAAAACAGTAACAACTATGGGCCTCATTCCCCTGAAGCTGAGGGAACCACCGACAGGGCGACGTCGGCTGGGACCGCTCGGACGAGGCTGCAAAAATCACAGGGCCAACGGAGATTTGAGTCGCCCAGGACTAGGATGACGATCTGTACTTTCAACGCACGGACGCTTGCATCGGAAGCTCACATCGAAGATCTGATGTTGCAAGCCAGGAAGATCAAGTACGACGTCATCGGACTGACCGAGACGAGGAGGCATCGCCCGCTACACGCCGTGTACGAGACTGGAGAAGAACTGTTCCTCGGAACATGCGACAGCAGAGGCGTTGGCGGTGTGGGCGTCCTCGTCAACACGCACTTGGCCATGAACATCGATTCGTACGAAAGTCTGACGACCCGAATCGGACGTTTGCGATTGAGAAGATGTGGTTCAACTCCAGCTTTGACAATCTTCGTCGCCTACGCACCAACATCAAGCTACGACGAGGATGAGCTCGAAGCGTTCTATATGGAATTGGAGAAGTTCTACAAGGAAGATCATACCTTCTTCAAGGTCATCGTCGGTGATTTCAACGCTAAGATCGGACCAAGAAGAACGGCTGAAGAACTTCACATCGGGAAGCTCACCCATGAAACAGCCAGTAAAAAGCAGAAAAATAGAGACATCACACAGGAAACGAACGAGATGCGGAGTGGAAGAGGGCAGGGTGAAAGGCTGTCTGAGTTTTATCACATGTCGACCACACCAATCCAATGGTACTCGCAGTTCCAGAAGCCCTACTCTCTACGCTGGACATGGGAGTCTCCTGGTGGACAATTCCATAACGAGATCGACCACATCATCTGCAATCGAAGGTTTTGCCTAATCGATGTCGCTGTTGTCCCTAAGTTCTACACGGGATCCGACCATCGCCTCCTTCGCGCAAGATTCCGCTTTTCGATGCGAGGAGAGAGAGCCGCAAAGTTCAAGAAGCGAAGCCCCAAGACCTTCATCAACTGGGATCACTTCACTTCTCTCGCTGGGCTCTGGGAGGATTCTGTCATCGACAACATCGACGAGGAATACGAACGGCTTGTTGCACATCTTCACGACTGCGCCAAGAAGTCAGAGGGTTCCAAGATTACCAAGAAGCGTCTATCTCTGGAAACTCTCGAGCTGATTCGCCAACGTGGAGCCGCACGAGCCGCAGGCAATTACCAGCTGACGTCTGAGCTTGCGAAGCTATGCAGAGGAGCGATAAAAGAAGACCTCAAGGAGAGAAGAGCAGCAGTATTGGTGGAAGCCGCAGAGGCTGGGAAGAGCATACGCAACGCCCGCCGCGACTTCGCCAACTGTAAGACCAAGATGACCGCCCTCCGACGTCCGGATGGAACAATCACCGCATCCAGAAGGGCAATGGAGAAGGTCATCCACGACTTCTACTCGGATCTCTTCGACAAGCCACGTTCACACCTGCAACCATACCGCTTGGAGCAGGATGGATATGTCGTTCCTGCAGTTCTCCCTTCCGAAGTCCGACACGCCATCTCGTCGGTGAAGAATCGTACGGCACCCGGTCCCGACAGGATCAGACCCGAACATCTGAAGAATCTTCCGCCAGTTCTCGTCAAAACTCTGGCTCGACTCTTCACGCGCTACCTGTCGGAATGCAAGGTACCCACCTCGTGGAAAACCAGCAAGACTGTGTTGCTGTACAAGAAGGGAGACCTGTACGACATTGGCAATTATCGCCCAATCTGCCTGCTGTCTGTAGTCTACAAACTCTTCACACGAGTCATCCTGAATAGGATTGGCAGAACACTAGACGAAGGACAGCCATGCGAGCAAGCAGGGTTTCGAGAGGATTCAGCACGATCGATCACATCCACACGGTAACGAAGCTCATCGAAGTATCGCGAGAGTACAAGATGCCGCTATGTCTCACGTTCATCGACTTGAAGAAGGCCTTCGACTCCGTTGAGACAGAAGCGGTTATCGAAGCCCTGGGCAACCAGGGTATTCCTACTCAGTACATCAGGATTCTTCGAGAGCTCTACAGCAACTTCACGACCAAGATTTCACCATTCTACAAGGAGATCATCATTGATGTGAAGAGAGGGGTCCGACAGGGCGACACCATCTCGCCCAAGCTCTTCAGCGCCTCTCTCGAGAACGTCATGCGTCAACTGGAATGGGAAGACATGGGAGTGAAGATCGACGGTCGGCAACTACACCATCTCCGCTTTGCTGACGACATCGTTTTGATAACGCCAAACATCGAGCAAGCGGAACGAATGCTGGCTGAATTCGACTGCGCGTGTGGAAGAATCGGTCTACGGCTGAACCTAACGAAGACGATGTTCATGAGAAACGGATTGGTATCTGATGCCCCATTCACGCTCAACGGAACGACCATCTCTGAATGCTCTAGCTATGTGTACCTAGGTCGTGAAATCAATATGATGAATGACCTAGCTCCAGAGCTGAGCAGGAGGAAGCGAGCGGCTTGGGGAGCCTTCAAGAACATCGAGGGAGTAGCGAAGAAGACGAAGAACACCCACAGCTCCGTGCCCACCTCTTCGGGATTGCCGGGCGTCGCTTTCCTGCCTTTGGAACGGTACGCCGTCTCAGAGACTTGACTCTAAGAAGGCAGGATGAAGCATGCCGGTCGCGGTTATGTTATTCAACGCGCCATCGAAAGGGCGATGCTCGGAGTTTCCCGCTACACGCAAGTGAGAGAGGGAATCCGGAGCTCCGCACTCCGCCAACGATCGAAGATCAGAGACGCCGCCGCATTTGCCAAGGTTTCGAAGATCAGGTGGCCGGACACGTCATGCGTTTCCGAACGTAACCGCTGACGCAGAGAGTCACCGACCTGATCCACGGGATGTCAAAGCGACGCCTGCGATGACTCGACCTATGCGATGGTCAGACTTCTTCGTGAAAGCTCTGAACGAACGGTATGAAGTTCATCGTGTCCCTCGAGCTGAGAGAGTTCATTGGGCAACTCTTGCACGTTGCAGGGACGAATGGAGACGTTACTGGCGCCCGCTCGAGGAACTCGATGATCAACGGGAGCACAGGTGATACAGGTGATATTCCGACCACTACAACAATGCAACACAATCCAATTTCCGGAAAAGCGGCGACCTGCCTTCTAAGACAAAGCCCGCGATCATTCTTCATCACATATTGTGGATTGAGGGTTTCCATATAGACGACAAGGTTCTGAGTGACTCAATAGTGAAGAAAAAAAAGCAGGAAAAACATGCCAACTGCCCTACATATAACTACATCTCCCAACCAAAATTTCAGGAGACCTTATTTCCATTGCCAACTCTCCCCTCTTACACATACACCCCTTGTTCCCTTTCGTCTGGACCCATTCGACTGTGTTCACTCGATACCTTACACCGTTCCTGAAACTATAGAAATCAACA